AGACGGGGACTGCAGCCAAGAAATTAAAAGACGCTTGCTCCTTGGGAGGAAAGCTATGTCAAATCTAGACAGCATACGAAAAAGCAGAGACATCACCCTGCCAACAAAAGTGTGTATTGTCAAGGCTACGGTTTTCCCAGTTGCAATGTATGGCTGTGAACGGTGGACCATAAGGAAGGCTGAGGGCCGAAGAAGTGAGGCCTTTGAATTGTGGTGCTGGAGAAGACTCCTGTGAGTCCCTTGGACTGCAAGACAATCAAACCAGTCAGTCTTATAGGAGATCAACCCTGACAGCTCTTTAGAAGGCCAGATAATGAAGATGAAACTCAAATACTTTGGCCACCTAATGAGAAGGAAGGACTCCCTGGAGAAGAGCCTAATGCTGGGAACAATTGATGGCAAGAGGAGAAGTGGACGACAGAGAATGAGGTGGCTAGACGGAGTCACCGAAGCAGTTGAAGCAGTTGATATGAGCTTAAGTGGATTCTGGGGGATGGTGGATGATAGGAAGGCCTGGAGGAATGTTGTCCATGGGGTCGTGATGGGTCGGACATGACTTTGCAACTAACCACAACAACCCTCTCTTTTAGGCAAGATGTTGTAAAGGTGCATTCAGTACTACCCTTTATCATTTGGCCAGTTTTATGAGCTAGGAAGGGCGAGGGTCCTACACACAATCTAATGTAGACCAGACAGGATGGGACTGCAGTGATGTTTGTTTGTTTGTCATGACTACAGATCAGGCCTAAAAAGACAGAAGGGTATCACTGAATTTCTACAGGTTGCTGCTGCTGTCACTGAGCTATCTTCTAATAGGGTGTGAAAGATGACAATTCCAGACCAAACAAGTAGTGTAGAAACAACCAAGAAACAGAAGCCAAGAAACAGGCAGCATTCTTCCATTTGAAAAAAATGGTAGCTCTTCTTCCTCCAAATATACAGCTATAGCTGAATTTAAAGAACTGAAGTTTGCTGCTGCATAAAGTATGAAGCCCCCCCTCCCCCATTTCAGAAGTATAATGCATGAGAAGGAAGTTCCCTATACAGAACAGATTCCTTTCCCTCTAGATCCCTGGATGGAAAAGAAAAGCAAATAAACAAGAAGAGACCCATGCAGAATTCACAGGTTCTCCAATTGTTTCTATAGCTTCATATACTCTAAAGTATAGCTCCCATGATCAGGAGATCATATATAATAACAAAAACATGGAAAGGCTTAAAAAGGAGAGATGTTGGTGAACGAGCCTGGCTATAATATGTATGGCTCTGCTGCCCCCTCTAGACTCTGCATAGATCCTGGAGAATGGTGGTAAATGCCAGCTGTGATTTCACCAAAGCAACAGATTCTAATGCAAAGGATTCATGTGGTTATGCTGCAGCCTAAAAACCTCTATTATATACACAGCGGAAATCAGAAATGCCTTTAGATATATATACTAGATGTTTTAGGGTGTGCACCTTATTAAACACCTAAAAAAGGAACAATGCTCAGGGTAGGGAAGAAATAGACACATTTATGAGGGCAACTTTACATGTCATCATTTGATGGCTCAACATCAACTAATGAGTTGCATTTTTGGGAAAATATCAAAAATCAAACAACAAAGATAAAAATTTTTATATCACTTTTACAAAATGCTTTCTAGGGGAGGCAGTTCAGACATTCAGCTGAGAATCATTCAGCTGAAATGACATTCAGCGGAAATGATGATATATGAGTGATAATGTACATCCACATCCCCAGCATGGTGCTTTCTAGATATGTTGTACTTCAACTGCCCATCATCCCCTGTGACCATGGCTTCCACATATGAGTGATGTCTGTATGCTTAGAATCTCTTGAAAGGATGGCTGCCTCTGATTAGGCTCCAGTCAGACTCCTCATTGTGTAGCCAGGGCACACTGGGACTGACTGTGCTGGAGTGACTACAAGTGGCAATGTGTGAATGGATGACAACACTGACTGACATGCTAATGGCTCATGCTGATGGCTATAACTGAGTGCCCCTGGAGCACTGTGAAAGCAAAGAGAGGGGCGGGAGGAAAACCAGGCAGGCACAGAAGAAAATGAAAGAGAAGATAGATGTGTGGAGTGGCAGAAGGTGGAGAAGGGACAGGGAAATGGACAGAAAGACAGAAAGGAGAGGCAAGACAGGTGGGGAAGAACAGCTACTTATGTGGGAGATACCAGCTCCAGCTCCTTCATTCTCTTTCCTGGAGCCAGAGAAGAGGCACACTGCTTTTTCTACATTGCCTTTTTAAGAGCAAACTCCAAAGAAGATCTAACAGAGACAGCTGAAAGTGTTGGTGTTTTGCCGAAGAACCTATTCTCAAAGAAAAAAAGCATCAGGAAGAAATATCACAGGTGGACTTAGCAACCATGGGCACTGTTCTTCCTCTTACATTTTGACTGTAGATGTCTTATTCACTCGAATGCCATTGGTCCATGCCATGAATTGAAATAGAAGGAACTTCCCTGTAATGAACCGGCTATTCTACAAATGTTTATCTCCTTTTTCTGAAACTACCAGTGCTGCAACTAGGGTAGTCTTTCTTCTTAAAGTTTGACTTTAAAGAATAATCTTGGTATATCTGCCACTGACAGAGTTGATAGATCAAGGAGGATTTGATGCCCCTTTGCCACAATACCAGTACAGAGTCTCTCTTCAGACCTTCATGTTTGATATAGTGTATTTTTTTGTATTTTTGTATATAGTGTATTTTGTATATAGTGTTGTATATAGTGTATATAGTGTATTTTGTATATAGTGTATTTTTTGTATTTTTGTATTTAGTGGTAATTTATTATGTTCTATTGTATTTCAATGTATCTTATTGTGTTGTAAGCCACCCCGAGGCTTCGGCAAGGGGCGGCATAGAAATGTTATAATAAAAACAACAACAACAACAATAATATACCAAGTTAAGGGGTGGAGGCCAACACACTTCGACACTGGAGCTGAGAGTGGCACTTGCAGCCCCATACCCTCTTCCCATGTTATTTCCATACAGTTTCGATAATACATTATTTGGAATTAGCCTAATTTCTAACCAGGGTTAGATCTAAGGAAGGTATGCTCAAAAACATAGTTTGAAATGATGGTTAGAATTGGCTTTGCAAACTGCAGTTTGAGTGAAACTATGTTTAAAAAAAAACTTAGATGATATGCAACAGTAACTATGTTTAGCACTAAAAAGAAAAGGGAGGAAGAGGGAAAGGAAAGAGGCACATGAAAGAGGGAAAGGGAAGAAGTATACAAACCCACACAGTGCTCTCAGTCATCTAACCATGGTTTTACATTTGCAGCATGCCTCAGTGTCAGCTTGTTTAAAAAATCTAGTTTACTCCTAAATTATATACTTATTATGTACTTTAGGACAATCAACAAATGGTTAAACCAGTTAAAGCTGACTAGTCATCCTTTAGCCAATTTTGATCTGGCCTATTTAAATAAAATGGACCTGTTACAAAAGTCTCAATATAAGTGCCCTTCTAAGCTATGAAAGTTAGTGTGGAATGTGAGATAACTGACCATTTAATTATCAGAAGAAAGTTCATTATTACTGTATTTATCTTGTTTCCCAGTAACCCAGCCAAACCAAGGTTGCCTTAAAAAGAATAAGCTTTTCTTGGCTTGTAATTGATTATCATGGAGCTGCTCTATTTTATTATTTCTTCTTATTATGTATTTATCTTTGTTGTAACAATTGCAAAGATTTACCAACAATGTATTTTAATAGTGATTGTAATACTTTTGTCTGTAAACCACATAGAGGTTTTATTATATTAAGTAATATGTAAAGATAATTAACAAATACTAATGAAACCAAAGATGTTTGCCTTCATTAACCCATCTACTAAAGAGAATGCTACTGGTAAAAGCTTGCCAAGTAATTTATATACTGAGTAGTCAGGGTTTAAACCTAATATCCTTTAGATGGACACTTGTAACTCTCTTCATACTGAAAAAAAGAAGACTGAAATCACCTTTTGCTGATTGAAGATTATTAATAATATCTTATATACTGCCATCAAATATACAATCTTTACAACAGGGCTGCTGAAGCTCGGGTTCAGGGATCAAATGCAGCCCATCAGAGGACTCAATCCAGCCCCCCAGGGTATACTAGATGGCCAGAATGCTTTCCTGGCATTTGTGTGAGCTACTCCCTATTCTAAAAGGTTGAAATGTGCCTCCTAAAGCTTGCTTACTTGCAGTAAGAGCTTTAAGTTAAAATTCGGTGGCTTTTTTGTCATCCTCCCTTTTGCCCCCCCATGCCTCTGCCCTGAGAGTTTCTATATAAATGAATTCAGCCCTTGGTCTGAGAGAGGCTCAACACTGCTGCCTTACAGGGCAACCACAGAAAAATAGATTCTTGCCACATGAAGCTCAGTCTAATATGTTATATAGAGGAAGAACAGGTGGAAGAGAGATAGCGGTGAAGGTAAACAGGGAAATAATATGCATCTAATTCCATTAGGTTTAGTTTCAAGCAGGAGAGGTGGATCAGTCTCTTTCCGATTTGAGTCAGTTTGATATGTCATCATCCAGCAGTCTATATCCCATTGGAAAAAAACCTCACAAAAATCATATTTATGTATGCCAGAACTAAAGGGTTCAGCCGAAGACATCACTAAAAAGCCAAGAGATGTAGCGCCACAGAGATGTTCTGAGAGAAAATCCAAGTATACAGGGGACCATGGATGAAAACCATGAACAAAAGCAGGAAACAACTGGATAGCTAAAGGTGAAGAGTTCTGCCATACAGAAATAACAATATAATATTGGTTGTTCTTAGACTGGAGAAAATGGTCAAGGGTACATCATCTTTTGAACTGCAACTTCCATAAACCTTAGCCAGCATGGCTAATGGTAAGAAGCTACAGGAGCTGTAGTTGCATGACCGCCTACCCTTTGAAATACTTCTGTGTTTAAGGACATACCACATTTCCTGCTCTCCACAATTCCTGGAGGCTTTACATGCATTCTGGGCCTTACCTTGACATGGCATGACCTTTCCTTTGTTGAGCTGCCGGAGGCGTTTCTGGTGGGTCTTCCCATTGTAGTGAATCTGGGCCTGCACAGCTGAATTAAGCTGGATATTGCACACCTCGCAGAGTGTGAATGCATGCTTCTTCTCCCTCTTTGAGTGCTGCTCTGGTGGACATCCAGGGCTGCTGCTCTGTGTGACACTGCTCCCCGGGCAAAGGGATGGGCTCAGGGGTCGCTTCATCCCTATGGGAAAGAAAGAAGAACAAGTACTAGAATCTGCCTAATGATATAAAACTTATGTTTTATAGTAATGTTATTGTGCAACATTCATATATAAAGCCTAGATTCCCTTGATCTGGAACAAGCACCTCAAACAGTACATATAAACAGCCTGTAGATGGAGTAAATTGCCTTCCCTTTAGCCCATACTGCACCCAAACTATCACTGGATTGCAATGCAAGAATTTCAACCCTTTCATTTCACCAGTGCCTCTTTGCTGAATTATGAAACGTAAAGCAACCTTTAAAGAGATTTTTTTCATTTGCAGAGAGAGCACTGGCGACATTAGTGATATAACTTTGCAATGAACTGTTTTCTGTCTTCTCTAAAGGACCTCTATGAAGACAACTGGTTATTCTGATATTAGCAAGTCTGAAGCATACTATGGCTTTAGATTTATTGATATGTTCAGGATGCAAATCTGGTTTTAGTGAACTGAAAGGGAACCAACCACCTTTGTGAAGATCAAGCACCTCTTTTATTTCATGGTATATGATAAAAAAAAAAACAACAACAACTGAAAGGCCATCTCTAAGTAACTGAAGTTTTCTTTTTTATAATGATATTTATAAACTGTCTTTTAGCCCTAGCCAGGACCTCCAGAATGGCAAGACAAAACAAAACGTCAAGAATGATTTCTGAATGCTCATGTGAACACAGGAATTTTCAAATTGAGAGTTGGTGTGTTATAATGAGCATAAATATGAGTTGAATGTCATTTCTAATCTCACTTCTGCCTCCGCCATTTGCAATAAGAAGACAATAGTGACCTGCCTAACAGGACTGTTGTAAGAACTGCTGCATAGAATCATTGTTGAAAGCATAGAGCTGGGAGTGTAATTATATGAAGTGCTTTCAACACTTGAATGATGGTATACTAAATGCTAAGTAATATTTTATTAAGATTGTAAGCCATTCCAATCAGAGCCAGTGTGAGAGCCAGTGTGGTGTGGTGGTTAAGAGCATGGGACTGGGACTCAGACGATCTAGGTTCTACTCCTGGCTCAGCCATGGAGCCAACTGGGTGACTCTGGGCCAGTCACAGACTCTCAGCCCAACCTACCTCACAGAGTTGTTGTGGGGATAAGATGGAGGAATAGAATGATGTAAGCTGCCTTGAGCCCTTTGTAGGAAAAAGGCAGGATATAAATTGAAAAAAATAAAATAAAAATAAAATAAAAATTCCAATGCCATTTTCTTGGTAGAAAGATGAGGTTGCAAGTATATAAAAATTTTCTTATGCCAGAGTATGCACATCTGGATTATGTACAGAAGTCAGGCACAGGTCTTTCCTCTGAATCTTTTCCAAATTAAGGGCTACTCCATACATTATATGGCATCAAGCCCATGTATGGCACTGAGCAGTTGTTTGCCTATGGGTGAACAGAGGAGAAATGAGATTAATACTTTTTTACATGGTTCAAAAATAGTCTAGAATTATGGGCAAGTTTACCAACAGCATGCAATTATTAAGGATGGTTAAAAGAAAAAGGGATTGTGAAGTGCTCCAAGTAGATTTTTTCAAACTGGGGGAATGGGCATGAGATTGGCAAATAAGGCTTGGTGTAAACAAATGTAAAGTGATATACAATGAAGCAATTAACCCCACTAATTTCACATATATGGTGACGGAGTCTGAACTGGTTGTGCCTGGACAAGAAAGGGCACTTGAGGTTGTGGCCACTTAAAATGTTGAGCTAGTGTGCAATTCCTGCAGAAGGGGCAAACTCATTGTTGGGGATCAGCAGGGGGAAAAACAGAAATAACACTGCCAATATCATACGACGTTTATATGAATTTATTATGTAGCCAGAGCAGGAATGCTGTATGCAGTTTTGATCACTGCACCTTAAAAAGCAAAACCTCCAGATGGAAAAGGTACAGAAAAGAGAAGTGACATGTTTAAGGGGCTGGAGCAATTTCTCCATCAGGAAACTTTAAACTTAGAAAATGAGTAGTGGGGGAGTGGGACATGAGAAATGTGTATAAAATTATGGATGGTCTGCATAAAGTTGTCTCCTACTCTTATATGAGAACCCAGAGTTATCCTATGCAAAGGAATGGTGAGAAATTCAAGACAGATAAAAAGAAATACTTCTTCATACAACAGCAGTGCATAGTCAAATTATGAAATTTGGTACCACAAAAGGTAGTGATGTGGATGGCTTTATAAGGGGATCATACAAATCCATTGAGTATACACTGTTAATGGCTTCTACTAATGATGGTTAAAAAGTACCTCCAATACTGTAAGTCTCCTGATGCCTGTTGCTGGGGCAAATAAATGGAAGGCTGCAAATGTACCCATGTCCTACTCTGCATTTCTTAGAAGCATCCCGTTGGCACTGTGGGAGCAAAATACTGTCCTAGATAGGCTGTTGTTCCACTCAGTAGAATTTCAGTAGAAAGTAACCCCACACTGACAGATTCTGTAGAGAATTTCAGAAACTGAAACAGTTTCCACAACAGTTTGGTGCTACATGCACCAAAAGAAGCCTATCATAGTTCATCATTTTGTTGTTTGTTGTTATTCATTTGCCTGCCCTTTTCATGTATAATGCAAGGCTGACCGTTCTGCTTTTACATCAATAGTGATGCAAGCATAAGGCAAGCTGAAGGGTCAGGCTCTGTAATTCCAGATCAGTTCACTTCAAGTACCAGGGTGATAAAGCATGGGTGAGTTCAGCTGTCCTCATCTGCAGACTCTTCTTGATGTTAATATGAATCTTTCCACTTTTTCGTGGACAGCCACTAGAATGAACAAGCATGGCTTCCCCAGTCACTCCTTGCCTCACTCTCAGGAGAGTGTAGAAAAGTGACTGAGATCAGGAATGGATCTTTCATAAGCCCTAAACAACTCCACCTGAGAATCATACCTGGCCACCCAAAAGTAGGACCATTTATCTACTGCCTCACAACAGAACATCCACAGTAAGCCACAAGCAGCGACTAAATGAGTCACCTGAGAACGAAAGCATTATGATGTTTCCTAAATTTTTGGAATGGGAAGGTGCAAGAGTACAAAGCAAACAATAACGTGAAATATTTCTGTAAGGAACTGTAACCTGAGTGAATTTGTGCAAAAAAATAATATGGAACTAGATTCAGAACCAGTTAAAACTATCTTGCAATGGTTAAGTCTGTAAGTAAACACACTCCCAGTGCCAAGTCCTCATCAAGGTCTCATATGACTTCTGACCCATTTATGCTATGGTGTGCTACTGAGTTTCCTGTACATGTACTTCATTAACTGTTTTCCCACAGGTGACCAAGTTATTTTCAATATTGGCAGAAATCAAAATGGGAAAGTTATCTGGACAAAATACTTTCAAAGGCCACTGGTCTCTAAAAAAAGGACACACAGCCTCTCAAATTAGCTTGGCCTATCAAGGCAGCTCCAGTTACAAAGTTTTAAATAAACAGTGCATATTGTGGATGCAGTCATCTCATTCACTTAATCTCTCTGGTGCCCATTTGTCCCTCCTAAAAGACAAGGCACTGAAATTCAACAATCTATCTTTCTCCCCAAACAGATGACTAAAATAAAGAGAGCCCAGGTATGATAATTAAGGTGGCATTACCTATGATGGAGTTACCTGCACAGCTTGGTATACATTTCACAGAACACTAATGGAAGACTGAAGTTGTTCTCCAATAAGATTCCCTCATATTGGACAACTCGTTTATTGATTTATTTAATTGTTCACTATTTGAATGCAGCTGCAGAAGAACCATCCATCATAAAGCTAGACTGATTCTGGTAGAACCACCCCAGGACCCAGGATCAAACCATATATCGGAGGTGGGTAGAGGGCAGAAAAGGATCTACTGGTATATCTCTGGAATATTTATAGTAATTCAGGAAGGATTTCCAACTCTCAGTAGTCTTACAAGGGCAACAATTACTGGGCTCGATTCTAATTGTTACTCTTTTGCACCAGGCTTTACTTAGTAGATCTTGAAGCTGGGGATGGGGGGGGGAGATCCCATGAACCTCAACTGTATCCACTTCTGCTCTACATGATGTTAAATCACGTACCATTCACCAATATTTTTTTCTTACCTAAAGCAACTGCCATCTCCAGCAGAAGACTCCTCAAAAGAAACTTCTTTAGGTAAGAACATGTGACCCCAGGGAACAGATATATACAATTAACGTAGTATATAATTATCATAAGCCAGGACTTGGGCCTGAAACTTATTTCCAGTGCCAGTCTCCAGTTCTGAAATTTGTAACGCACAGAGCACAGAGCCACAGTAAAGCGCACCGACCCTTCCCTGCACAGCCATAGACATACTGCAAAAACCCTCCAAAGTACTTTAACTACATGGGGCCATAGCAAGCAAAATTGGTCAATTTTTAAGACAAGTATGGAGGCTGTTTCCTACTTGGAAGCTGCACTCTGACCCAGAATACCTACTCCAGCCATGTAGGGGTTACTCAGTGGTTAGAGCAAACTCCATTGCATATACTCATTTAGATGCACACTCGTAAGCACTTCACTGCATTCTAGAGCCAAGGGTAGCCAAGATGCTACAAACAGGTTTTGGGCTCCACTCCCAACTCAAGCAGACAGACATCTATGTCCTGAGAAGACCTTGAGTGGCCTGAGCTTTTTTAAAAAGGGAAGCTCTTCCAGGAGCAGCTGTTGGAACAAGCAGCAATGCGGGGGGGGGGGGGCAAAGAGGCAAACACACAGGGGCAGTGAATATGGAGGGTGTATGGCAAGAGATCCTTGACAGATGTCTCAATCTCTTTGAAATAAAAGGTCAGAAACTACATCCAGGGTCATGCCCAAAAAGCGACGTACATTAACACCCTTCACCCTAACGTCCAACTAGTACTGCTTTCCCCACAGCACAGCGACATGCAATATGATACCAAGCCCCTCAGCATTCGTTCTGCAGTTTTACTGGCATTCTCCAAGGTCAGTGTAAGTACTCATTTTCATCCAACCATCCA